TTTCTCCTACTCTATCCTGGACCTTCTAATGTGATCCCATTCACAGCAGTTAAATAGTGATAGCTAGGAAAAATCTAGTTATTCTGGACTGAGTCATGGTAACTGATGTTCTCATGTTCCATTGGTCCATTTGACTAGTTGACAAAGCATCATTTGCTGAATGTAAAATTTATGATCTTCACTCAATTCACAACAAAAAGTTTCCAAAAAAAAAAACAAAACTCACAACTGGACCAATAAATATCATCATGATGAACAGAGAAAAGATTGAAGCTGTCAAAGACTTCATTTTGCTTGGATCCACAATCAACACTCATGGTGGTCATAGCAGTCAAGAAATATAACAATGTATTGCATTAGGCAAATCTGTTGCAGAAGACCTCTTCAAAGTGTTCAAGGCAAAAATATCAATTTGAGGACTATAGTGTGCTTTACCCAAACTATGATATGTTCAATCACCTCATACACATGTGAAAGCTGGACAATGTAAAAGGAAGATTGTAAAATAATTGGTACATTTCAGTTATGGTGCTGTTGAAGAATATTGAAAGTATCATGGACTACCAGAAAAACAAACAAATCTGTTTTGGAAAAAGTACAGCCAGAATTCTCCTTAGAAGCCAAGACGGTGAGATTTTGCCTCTCATATTATTTCCTCAACGTAGCCAGGTCTATATCCTTGGGATGAAAGGATATCTATCATTTTCTGTCCCACAACAATATGTATTTGATTATAAGACACTTTGATACAAATTATAACATTTTATTATCTGTAAGTCAGCCAGAGATCTAATACCAAACTTATGAGTTGTATTTTTTTTTTAATCTGGGAAACATGTCTTTTTCTCAGTCAGGCCTATAGTAGTTTATATGAGATCCAGCTTTTGAATACAAATTTAACAATATCCAACAACAACATATAGTTATATGGAAATCTTCTGAGAAATTGAGAAGCCCTTTGGATGTATCTATCCTAGGTTGGCAAGCCTCAGAAGCTAGTTAGTCTTGGTAGAGAAAAACTGAAAGAAACTTGCCTGTACTGATTGTCCACTTTATACGTGGTCCTGGTATAGTGCTGTGGGTTAACGTGCCAGACTGTAAAGCTGTTTGAACTGCAAGGTCGGCAGTTCAAGCTTACCAGCTACTCCTTGGAAACCCTCTACAGGGTTGGTATGGGTCAGCATCGACTCAACAACACTTAACAACAACAATAATCATTTATAAGAGGAGCTCTGGTAGTGTAGTGGTTACGAGTCTGGCTGGTAACCTCAGGTCAGCAGTTCGAAACTACCAGCTGTTCTGTGGGAGAAAGATTAGGCTTTCTGCGTCCGTAAAGATTTACAGCCTCAGAAACCCTATGCAGGGTCTCTATGAATCAGAACCAACTCCACAGCACACCACCACCATCATTTATAAGGGCATGTGGTACCACTGTGGGTTAAGCACTGAGCTGCTGACCAAAAGGTCAACTGTTCAAATCTACCTGTTGCTCCATGCTCCAGGGGAGAAAGATGAAGTTGTGTGTACCTGTAAAGATTTACATCCTTGGAAACCCTACTGCGCAGTTTTGCTTTCTCTTCCAGGTTTGCTACGAGTGGAATTGACTCGATGGCAGCAGGGTGGGTTATACTGTTTAGTCTTCAAACCTTCATAAATTAAATAAACTATGATGAAGATACTGAGAGTCTGAAGAGTAAAGCATTTTTCTAAAGGTATTTTCACAATTTATACCATAAAAAGCAGAGTTTAAAACCCAGACCTTGGGGATAGGGGTGTGTGTAGGTATGTGTGTGTGTAGCTAACATTAATAACCTAATTAAGATGATAAAAATTAAGTCATTCCCTTCTCCCTATTTCACAATGATTTTAACCATGTTAACAATTTTAGTTCCTCTTGTAACTTTACAACTTTAGACTTAGGTTACCTTTACCTGCATTTTCATCTACAATTTTAATGTAAATTACTTTAAATTTTGTATCTCATTAACTCCTGATCTTCAAACTTGCAATTTCAACTGCTGAAATGTAGCATTTCAGATACTTCAAATTCAGCACATTCAAACTAAATCTCTTATCCTTTATTTAATTCAAACACGTCCTTAATTTTTGCTTCCTAAAATTTAAGTTTTCGCTTCCCCAGTTTCCTAAGTGTTACCCATGTCTAGTTCTCTAGAGCTGCTACAACAGACAGATGGCTTAACAGGTGGATAGCTTTAATAAACAGAAATTGATTCTCTCATAGTTTGCTGTTGTTGTTAAGCTGTTAAGTGCCCTCGAGTCGGATCCGACCCATGGTGACCCTCTAGAGGGTTTCCAAGGAGCGACTGGTGAGCTTGAACCACCAACCTTGCAGTTCAAACTGACTTTGCATGCTAGCATTAACCCACAGCGCCACACCAGGAGTCTCACAGTTTAGGAGGGTAGAAGTCGAAATACAGATCACTGGGAAAATGTCCTTGTCTCCTTTCAGCATCTGTAGGCCCAATATTCCCTGGAGATCTCTTAAGAGTCTTAGCATCAATCTTTTCCTGGATCTAGGCGTCTTGGTGTGGTGTTGTGTGATAAGCAATGGACTTGCAAGGTTGATGGTTCAAACCCTCCAGCAGCTCCTGGGAAACCCTATACAGGGCTGCTAAAGTGAGAACTAGCTCCACTCCACATAGCAACAGGCATTTCACAGGACTGGGACTCCCAAGCCCAATAGATGCATTCCACTCCCTGCTCTTCTTTTCTCCTTCTCTGCTCACTTCTCTTTCCTTTGATCTCTGGTAGGATAAAAGGTGTTACACAGGCCACAGTCCTGGGAAACTCCCTTTCATCTTCATTGCATTAGGGGTGTGATGGGATGAAGAGGATTGCAGCCCACTCTTAATCTTTTTATTGGTTTATTACATCAGATCACAACCTGGGGAATCATCACAGTACATCACTACATAACTGCCAAACCACTGACACTGTTGACCCAGTCACACCGACACATATTTTAGGGGACACCCCACCTCCACCTAGTCAGTCTTCAGAGATTTTGATGAGGTGTTTTCTTACTAGTAATTATAGCAATGCCAATTTAAGTCAATGAAAAAGTTATTGTGTACCGAATTATTCTCCCATTGTATTTTCAGGGACCACTATTAAAACAAAATAAAACTGAAATTTTCTATGAATACATGTCTTGCAGGTGTCCATTAGCACCTAAATGCAAGCGTTTTAAATACCTTGACATTCAGTAAAGGAGCTCTGGGGACAATGGGTTAAAAGTTTGGCTGCTAACACGGAAGATTGGGGGTTGTGTGAGCACTTTGCAGCCGAATAATAAGGCTTTTTGCTCCCCATAAAGAGTTGTTGTTAAGTACCCTGGAGTCGGTTCCCACAGAGACCCTGCACAGGGTTTCTGAGGCTGTAAATCTTTATGGGAGCAGAACGCATCTTTCTCCCACGGAGCGACTGGTAGTTTCGAACTGTAGACCCTGAGGTTCGCAGCCCGATTCGTAAGCACTACACTAGCAGAGCTCCTTCCCCATAAAGAGTTACAGCCTAGGAAACCCTAAGGAGTAGTCTACTCTGTTGTATAGGGTCACTATGAATTGGAATCCACTTGATAGCCATGGGTTGGTTTAACTTTCCGTAAAATCAGTAATTTAAAAAATTTCCATGTGTTCTCATCTAACTACTTACATATTCTTGAATGGACAAACATTTAACATCTTGTTGTTAAGTGTCTTAGAGACTCATGCTGTTGTTGAGTACAGTGGAGACGGTTCCGACTCATAGTGACCCTGTACAGGGTTTACAAGGCTGTAAATCTTTACGGGAGCAGAACTTCTGCCTCATCTTTCTTCCGCGGAACCGCTGGTAGTTTCGAACTGCCAACTTTGAGGTTAACAGCCCGATTCGTAACCACTACGCTACCAGAGCTCCTGTAGAGACTCATAGTAACCCTGTATAAGGATTCCAAGGAGCAGCTGGTGGGTTTGAACTTCAGACCTTGTGATTTGCAGTCCAGTACTTAACCTACAGGGCCACACCAGGAGTCCATTTAACATCTTGTTGTTGTTGTTGTTATGTGCCGTCAAGTCGGTTCCGACCCACAGCGACCCTGTACAGGGTTTACAAGGCTGTAAATCTTTACGGGAGCAGAAAGCCTCATCTTTCTCCCGCAAAGCGGCTGGTAGTTTCGAACTGCAGACCTTAAGGTTCGCAGCCCAATTCGTAACCACTGCGCAACCATACGACAAAAATTAAAACACCCATCTACTCCAGTTCAAAGTGACAACAAATAATTGAAAACACCCACAAGAATAGAAATATCCCAACAAAATTTGTCCCAGGCAGTGAGATGCAGGTTAGCTGCGAATGTAAATGGGAAAATGGATGCAAATGGGGAAACATGGGAAGCAGGTGGGGAAAGTAGGTGGACGAACAAGGAGATAAAGCAAGCAATCTCCAAAGAGCAGACAGAGATTCCTCTGATGGGAGGGATAAAACACCAAACAACTGTTGTTGTGTGCCATGGATTAAATTTCGACTCATAGCGACCCTGTATAGGGTTTCCAAGGAGCAGCTGGTGAGCTTAAACCGCCGATCTTGAGGTTCAAACCGTCCTTGCAATCCAGCACATTAACCCACAGAGCCACATCAAGACTCCAGCGACCCTGTGTAGAATTTCCGAAATTGGGTGGGCGTGGGTGGGCCTGGGTGGGTGGATGGAGGGCTTAACAGCCCACCTTGCGGTTAGCGCAGTTAGCAATCCAGTGATCATTTTACAGCGCCACCTCGGTTCTCTGTGCTTATATTCAAGCATACGGCAAGTAAAGGTGGGTTTTGCTGATATCGTTTCCCTAACTTGACAAGCTATGGCCAGCGCTTCAGTGGCCAGATGTTTTGGGCCAGCGGCCGCCTTGGAAACCATAGACCCACCAAGACTAACTGGTCCTGGACGCCGTGCAGTAATCGCAGCATGACAGCGTTACTGACGCTTACCACACCCCACTCCACCCCAACCTCGAAGGAAGTGACGCGCCCGTGAAGGGCGGGGATAATTTTGAGCCGGAAGTGGCTCGCGAATAGTAAATAAGCCTCGAAAGGCTAGAAAGGAGTTGTCTCCATCTTGTCTGGTTCCGCAGTTCTTACGACGTCGTGGAGATGGGGAGCGTCCTGGGCCTGTGCTCCATGGCGAGCTGGGTAAGGTTCCTTTTTGCAGCGTCCAGAAAGCTAGCTTGAATGGAGGAAAAGAACGGGATTCAAGAAGGATTGAGCGAGACCCGGCTCAGACCTCACCCAACAAGGAGTGCTTTTTACCCCCATTTTCTTTTTATCTCACCTGGTCACTCGGAATCGGCTTCGGGGCTCTGGGACTTGAGAAAAATTGGCCATGAGGTGCAGTGGGTATGGGAAGATGACCTCGATGGAAGAGGTGAAGAAGAGAGCAGGCAGCCCCTTCTCCGTGAAAGGCGCTCCCCTTTCTTTTAGGCCCTGGTTTGTTGTTTTTTCTGTGTCTTGACTAGGCCATCTATACAGAGGTCTTGTGGCCTTCCTTCTTTGGGTAGCCCGTCTCCTTGTCACCTAGCCCGTCTCCTTGTCACCTTTTTCATCGGCTCAGGCTGCAGCACTCTCATCCCTGAGCCCTTGTCGGCCTCTTTGTTCTCTTTTGCAGAGAACAGTTAAGTGCCAGCAGTCTCGACATCAATTTATGAATTCTTTATTTGCAACAGCCTGGCAGACATATCAATGTAGTAATAATAGTTTTGAAATGTATAATCCTAGCTCTGTGACATAAGTTTTCTGCTTTAATGGTATGTAAGAATTACTGTACTTCTCAAGGAATAATTTATGTACCATGAAAAGGTGATCAATTCTGTGGTTTTAAAAATTTTGTATGTTTTTTCATGAAACATGCTTATGTAACGTCAGACTTAATGCATACTGATTAAATAGAGTTGTTAAAGCGAAGTGATTTTTCATTATAGTGGCAAGCTTTCTTGATTCAAGTGGCAGAAATAGACCAGTTTATTTAAGGTAACCACTCCTCCACTTTGTAATAAAACAAACATAAATCCATTGCCTTTGGGTAGATTCCGACTTACAGCGACTGACCATCTAGGACACGGTGGAACTCCTGGTGTGACACTGTAGTATAAACCTACAGGTCGGAGGTTCAAACCACCAGCCACTCCTTGGAAACCCTATCCGGAACCGACTCGAAAGCACTTAACAACCGCATAGGACAGGGTAGAACTGCTCCTCAGGATTTCTGAGACTGTAAATCTTTACAGGAGTAGACAGCCTCATCTTGCAGTCTCTGCTGGGTTTGAACTACTGACCTTGCTGTCAGCAGCCCAATTCTTATTCAGCTACACCACCAGGACCCCATAAAGTCAGTTGCTGTTGTTGTGGAGTGCCATCTAGTCAATTCTGACCCATAGCGACCCTGTATAGGGTGTCCGAGGAGCAGCTGGTGAGCTTGAACCACCTACCTTGCAGTTCAAACGGCTTTGCAGTCTGGGGCATTAACCCACAGCATTACACCAGGAAGTCAGTAGAGATTTGTAAATTGAAGTTTGCTATTTGAATTCAAATAAGATTTAATCTGATTTCTACAACATCTAACAATTGCTTCTTCAGATTTCCCAAGTCCATTATATATCTTAAAACAACAAACTGGTTATTTTACATAACATACCAAAAATATTTTGATATAGCTTGAACTATGTTATTATTGTTAAGTGCCATTGAGTAAGTTCTGATTCATAGCAACCCTGTATAGGATTTCCAAGGAGCGGCTAGTGGCTTTGAACCACTGACCTTGTTGTTCAAACTGACCTTGTAATCTAGTGCATTATCCTGCAGCACCACACCAGGAATCCATGGCTTGAACTATAAATGTTAACATTTAATAAAACAAATAATGCGTTAAAACAATAGGTGTAGGTTCTTACACCAATCCCGGGCAATTTTCTTGATATATTTTTTTCTTGTAGCTGGGCATGGAAACCTGATTTCATCTTATAAAATATTTGTGTATCTACTTGAGTGGAACAAGTATGAAGAATAGATTATTAGTAATTGACTATTTTTACAAGTGGCATCATTTGTGTAATGTGAAAGTACAAAATGAATGGTTGTCATAAGATTGTTTTCATTAATTTTTCTGGAAAATGAGTAATTAGATTTTTAATGTGAAGGTTTTGTCCACTTACCAAGTGAGTACTCTGTACTTCTTTCTATGTCGTAGAGATTTATGGTGAGGTATATATATTTTCCATTTTATTATCTGTCTTCAGATCAGTGATGAGCAACTTTTATTTATTTATTTATTTAGCCTCAAGGACAATTATGGTAAGATTAAAAATGCTTAAGGATTTTCTTTTAATGAATATTTGTTTTTTAAATGAGAAAGAAAATAGCTTTAGTGAACTCCATGGAAAAGTGATAATTCCTACTAAAATTTGTACAGCCTAGATCACCACTTTTATCAACTAGAAGAAGGTTGGTGGTACCTTTGCTACTGCTTTTTTTTTTTCTGTCATTGTTAGTTTCAGAGTATATTAGAAAATGATAACCTTATGACATTTATTATTTTATAATATTTGTATGTTTATTAGGATTCTGAGGGTGGTATAAACTGTTAAACAAGCTGAGCTATTCACAGAAAGGTTGGCAGCGTGAACCCCCCAGAGGTGCCTCAGAGGCCTCTGGCAGATAGAAAAGCTAGGAGGCCAAGGTTACATGTGGCTGCTCTAAATCATCGTGGCTGCTCTAGGAATTGAGTTGAAAGTTTGGTTCATCTGTTTCTGTTTCTCTTCTTGTTATTTTGTCTTCTATTTTCCAGGATTTAAAAAAACTTTTAGTGCAGTTAGATAACAGGAGGGAAGAAAATTTAGTCTTTTGATATACGAGTACAAATCAGTTTCTTAGCCATCAGTATGTGTTTTACTTAGAGGCTTTGGTGGATTTAAAAAAAATATTCACATTTTCAGAAGTAGTAATCAGATCATTAAACTAGGTCAGTTTAGCCAGAATTTGAAAAATAACAACAACAAAAACTTGTGTTATTTAAAAAAAAAAAAAAAAGCTTTTATTGTGAATAGGATTATAGTTGTAAAGCAAATTGGTTTTCCATTGAATTCATGTTTGTTAACCTTGATTGAAGTTCCTACAATGTAATAGAGCATTCCTCTAACTTCCTCCCAGTGTTTACAATTTCCCTTAATCCTTTTCCTATCTCTTTCAGCCTTCTAACTATCCGTGAGCAGTTGCTGCCATTTTGATCTTCAATTGTCGCTGGTTTTCTTGGTCATGGGATAGGCCTAGCTATTGTTGACTCCTCCCCACATAACCAACTGCCAGTTGGTTGTACTGTGGCACTGCAATGACTTGAGTGTTAGTATAATGTTGAAAGATACGCCACTGGTATTTCAGATACCATCAGGGTCACCCATACTGCACGGATTTCAGGGGAGCTTCCGGACTGAGAACAGACTTTGTTGTTGTTAAGTACCGTAGAGTTGGTTCCAACTCATAGCGACCCTGTATAAGGTTTCTGAGGAACAGCTAATGGGTTTGAACCATCTGCCTTGAAGTTCAAATCAACCTTGTCATCCAGTGCTTATCTTATATTGCCACACTAGGACTCCAAGAACAGGAAGAAAGAATACATGATCCACTTTTAAGGCCTTAGTCCCTGAAAACTGTAGGCATAGCAGTGAAACATTGTCTGATACAGTGCCAGAAGATGAGCTCCATAGGTTGGGAGGCATTCAGAATACTACGAAGGCCCCCAACGATATAGGTTGACACAGTAGCTGCTGTAATGGGTTCAAACAAAGTCAGTTGTGAGACTTGTGTAAGACCTGGCAGTGTCATTATGTTGTGCATTGGGCTACTAGGATTTGGAGCTGACTCGACCTCACAGATAGAGGGGAGAAAAAAGATCCCATTTTCAAAAATACAAATATTACACACACTCTTTAACCAAGAGTAAACACAAGACGAAGAGGAGTTTCCAAAGTTCATTCTCTAGGTGGTGACCTTTTATAGGGCACTAAGAATAAAGGAATCTCCTTCTACAACCATGACTGACTGTCAGCAGCCATTTATCATATATGCCAAAAGCAGAAGACTATTGCTGATTGGAAAGCTTACAGCTTCTGAGGCTCTTTGGGTATGCCATCACAACATTATGGGATGTGTTTAGGAATATTCCTGTAAGGGAAGTGACCCCCAACCCATTTTAAAATATAATCTGTTTTTCACTCCCAGCAGTTCAGTTGTCAGAGGACTGCAAAGTCGGTTTGAACCTCAAGGTTGGTGGTTCAGGTTTTCCAGCCACCCCTCAGAAACCCTATACAGGGCTGCTATGGGTTGGAACCAACCTGACAGCACTTAACAACAACTAACACTTAAATCTAGGCAGAAGACGAATGAACTGTGTGTGCTAGGCTGGAGTTCACAGGCATAAAGCCTTCAGATTTCAAGCTCTACGGCAGCACCTAACAGTTGTTGGGTTGAAAGCTTTTGTCCTAATCTATAAAATTATTTTTGTTGTTGTGTTGTTTGTGACCCATAACGACTCTATAGAATTAATTTCCAGGAAGGAGCGGGTGGGTGTGAACTACCAATCTTTCAGTTAACAGTCCAATTCTTATTTTATAGCACAATACCAGGACTCCAAAAATTATTTTTGAAGTATAAAAAAATATAAAAGACAAAACAAAAATGATGTGTAACTTTTCATTTTACTTTTTCACCATTAAAGAATTTCACAATTAGATTAATCATTATCCACGAGCCAGGACACTGTTGATAATGATTCATTCATGGCTCTCTCTTTTTGGTTGATGGTTACTTTAAACACCTGTGAACCTGCCACCTTTTCCTTGTAACTATATTGAGAGCAGTTTTTATGTACTTACATGCTTTTCCCTATCCCAATTACAAAGAATTGTTTGTGAGTAGAATTGATTTTTTTCTATAATTGGTTATTTTATTGATTGCTTTTAAGGGTCTTTCCTAAATTTCAGTAGCATTGCACCCTTAAATTTGGAGGCAAATTTTATAAGTGTTACATCATTGTTGTTGTCAAGTGCTCTTGAGTTGTTTGAACCCAAAGCGACTGTGTAGAGGGTTTCCAAGGAGCAGCTGGTGAGTTTGAACTTGTGATTCAGACCAACCTTGTGATCAAGTGCTTATCCTACAGCGCCTCATCAGGACTCATCCTGAACCCCACTAATTCACAACTTAATATCTCACACACTGAATGCTTTAATCTTTGGTCTTTCATCGCATATAACAAGGTTATTGGAATCCTGGTGTGACACTGTAGGATAAGCACTGGACTGCTAATCACAAGGTTAATGGTTGGTTCAAACCCCACCGGTAGCTCCTTAGAAACTCTACCTAGGGTCTCTTGTGAATTTGAACCGACTCTGCAGCACTGAACTAACAACAAGATTATTTAGGAAACCTATACAACCACAACGAGAAATTTTATGGAATGCACTTGGTGGTGACAGGAATCCGAGCCATGATGAGGGAGCAGTTTTCTTTAAGAAACCATTCTACTAAAAAACAGCATAGAGATAAAAGTGGCTTGTTAAATGTTCATGACATGCAAATGCATGACTATGACACCAAATTACCACTAATTATACTCTGTGTTTTATAGGACATAAAAACTGCTCCCAAGACAATCAAAACCTTCCCCAATTTAGCACCCCACTATTTTCTGGTTGTACCAAATAAATAACCAGCAAATGATTTTATCTCTTTAATAAAAGCATTTGCATTTTTAAAATGGGTGAACTGGGATTTCCTCCGTAATGTTTGTTAAAGCTGCTAACACACCTTGTATTTACAAAATAGTTGACTGAAATACACCTGGACTGTATGAGAATGGAGATACATGGACAAAGTATTCAAACATGAATCAGACTTAGCTTCTCTGCTACTTCAGAGTCTGCACTCTGATTTTTTTTCCATTTAAAGCTTTTCTGTTGTCTGTGGATAAGTCTTGGTTAGCCACTTCAGTCTGTTTTCCCTTTGTTCCTTTTTGTTTGCATTTTTAAAATTTGAAGATGTTTCTGTTCTTGCTGCTTTTATTTTAATGTTTATTTTGAATTATATGATAGTTTAGATGTGAGAACATTGGCTTTACATTCATCCTATCATATATCATTTCAGTGCCATGGTTACAATCCCCTGCATGCATCATCAAACAACCAAAGGATATATCCTGCCCCCCAGTTGTCAGCACACAGCCCCTCTCCCTCTGGGTCTAGAGTCCCCAGCCACTCCATCTCTCCATGTCATCGTCTCTGCCTCCATCTCTGGAATCAGTGCTTCTCTGGCTAGGGTCCTGCACTCTCCGCTCTTTTCCTTTGATGGTTCCAGGGACCTCTGCTCCAGGACTGCAAAGTCAATCACTCCCCTCCTTTGCTACAAAACGTCCACCTTCACATTTCCAATCCTCACAGTCAGTCCTAATAACAATTATTCACCATTGTATCACAAGAGACCTATCCCCATCTCCTTTCATTAGCCCCACCCAAACAGATAGGACACTACTCAGTGGAGACACTATCTTCCTCCAGGCCCTCTGGATCTAGGTTCCCCCTTGAAAGCTTATAAACCAGTCATTTCTTGCCTTTGTAGGCCCCCCCCCCCCCATTTTGGGTACCCAATGTTCAAGTTACCCATCCCTACCTACTCTGTGTATGGAGCAGGTGGGAATGATCTTGGCTGTAAAGATTGTAAAGATTTGCTCCCTATTTTGAGCTACTGCATCCATAGGTGTAGGTCAAGTTCATCAAATTGTATTGGATTACCCTTTTTTTTTCCCCCATCTTTCTTCCAGTTGAGCTCTGATCATCCAGTCATTAAAGCCAGGTCAAGTAGATATTATCTGAAAGTGTGGGTGTTCTTATACATATGTCCTCTCTTCTTATAAGCTGGACGCTTCACTCTCCACTCTAGTCCTCTGTGGCTATGTCACTGACTCTGGGCCCAAGAGTCCCCAGGTCTTGCCACACTGCTGGCCAACCAGGTCTCCACCTGGGTTCACAGGAGTCTATTGAACATTGTAGGACCTTTTATTAAATAATATCCTATAAAACTGATCATTTCTTTTCACAACCTATTTAGTGTAGCTAAAAAGAAAAGAGCTAGTGATTACTGAGTACCTGGTTTGTGCCAGCCTTTGCTAGATTTTTTGTTTTAATACATGACTTTTTTATAGAAATGATTGATAGCTGCTATGAATAGTTGAGCAGTGCAGAGTATGGAGAAATTTAAAATGTCACACAATTTTTCACCACCAGTGACATTCTTTCTCTCTCAGTGCATATATACAAATAGATGGATGAATAAACAAAAATACTTTTGTAAGAATGCTAAAAATATGTATTTTATATAGAACATTAAATTTAATTTTTCTTGAAATTAACAAAAGAAAAATTTGGTAAAACTAAAAAGTATTGCTGAATGTTAAGTAAATGTTTTTCATTAGGGGAGTTTTTCTACAATATTAAAGTGGTGATTCTATAATAGTAATTCCCCACTAGACACAGTTTTGACCACCTGGGGACATTTGGTATAATGTCTGGGAGCATTTTCGGTTGTTGCACCTTCGTGTTGGGAATGCTACTAACATCTAATGGGTAGAGGCCCAGGGATGCTGCTTACCGTCCTTCAATGCACAGACAAAACCAAAACTAGTTTCCGTCTAGTTAATTCTGACTCATAGTAACCCTAAACAGGGTTTCTGAGATTCTAAATCTTTAATGGGAGCAGACAACTTTATCATTCTCAGTTGGAGTGAATGGTGGTTTTGAACCTCTGACCTTGTGGTTAGCACCCCAGTGCTTACCTAGCAGCACTGTCAAATTGCCACTAATGCTCAAAACAGTCCACAATTTTTAAAAAAGGTATTATCCAACCCAAAATGTCAAGAATGCCAAGTTAGAGGAATCCAGCTCTCTATTTAAGGAAAACAAAATGTTTAAAACATGGAAATTACAGTAAGTTTTTGAAGATGTTTTTATTTTAGATTCATATCTATGAGGCGCTCTGGTAGCATAGTGGTTACAGGTTGGGCTGCCAGCCTCATGGTCAGTAGTTCGAAACTACCAGTGGTTCCAAGAGAGAAAGATGAGGCATTCTGCTCCCTTAAAGATTTATAGCCTCAGAAACCCTGTGCAGGGTCACTATGAGTCGGAACCAACTCCACAGTACTTAATAACAACAGCATCTATGAAAAATTAGTATTCACCCATCCTTATATTTCATTTCTTGTTAATTGTGTAACTTGTAATTTTTTACATTAAGTATTATGCATGCATAAAGTTCTCTGTGGAGTCCTGGTGTGGCATTATAGGTTAATGTGCTGAATTGTAAGGTCAGTTTGAATCACAAGGTCGATGGTTCAGGCTCACCAGCTGCTCCTCAGAAACCCTATACAGGGTTGCTGTGGGTTGGAACTGACTCTAAGGCATATAACAACAACAACATAGTTCTTTGTAGTTAATATGCAAAACAGTCTACCATTCCATTTCCACTCTTTGGAGGCAGTGTTTCTTTAGTCATTGTTTATTTACTTCCATATTTCTAAATAAAAGGCCCATAGATATAGGGTCACTATGAGTTGTAACCAACTCAGTAGCACTTAATAACTGTATTCTTTATTATTTTTGCTTTATTTGTTTTAGACATTATCTTCTTAACTATAGAAGATGAAGCTTTAGCTTTTAACTGTTCCTCCTCAACCTCCACCCCCCCAATCACACACTCATGATGTCGCCTCCTCTTTTTATTATATTTATAATTTTGATGAAATCAATATTATTATTACTATTTAATTGAATTAAATATGTAAAGCCATAGTAAGCACTTACGTGTATTAGCTACTTATTTTTATTATTGTTGTTGTCAAGTGCCATTGAGTTGGTTCCGACTCATAGCAACTTCTAGGGTTTCCAAGGACTGGCTGGCGAGTTTGAACCACCAACCTTGTGGTTCAAACCGACCTTGCGGTCCAACATTATCCTGAAGTACCACACCAGGACTCCATGTAATGAATCTACAATGACTCTTCGGCAGGATTTTTGTTTTCATCAAAATCTTTGCTTTATTCTCTGTATATGTAACTAATTTTACCCCAGACTTTCCCTAGCTGTTATATACATCACTCAGTGAGTTCCAGTGCTCGTCTTTTCCTTCTCGGGGCTTGGGGATTGATATTTTAAAATTCTTAGACTGTTGTGGGCTTACTTACCAGTATGATTTCTAGGAAAGAAGGAGGCTGGAAGTTGGCTTAGCAGCTTGCTACTCATGAATATTTTCTTTCTCTTCATAGCATACTTTTGGATGCTGCTGACAATTTTTTTCCCTTTGTTTGACCTAATTTTATTTGTTTTGGTTTATGTAGAGGCAAGGGCTTCTATTTCAGTCCTTTTGTTTTGTGAACAGGTAGAATTAAATTATCATTGTCTCATTTTAAACTATACTGATTTTTACCAATACTGTTCTTTACAGATCCCGTGCCTGTGTGGTAGTGCCCCGTGTTTGCTGTGCCGATGTTGCCCTAGTGGAAACAACTCCACTGTGACTAGGTTGATCTATGCGCTTTTCTTGCTTGTGGGAGTTTGTGTAGCTTGTGTAATGTTGATACCTGGAATGGAAGAACAACTGAATAAGGTTAGTCTTTTTTCTTAATGATTAACTGAAATTGTGATATGTATATGCATAAAATGGATTTTTGTGTAATGGGAATAGAATAATGTACGAAGTGAAAGCATATGGAATCCCAATTTTAGTAGCTCATAATCTTTTAGGAAGAAAGACTAAAAGTCAGGTAGATGAAGTGTGGAGACTGTTGCAGTAGTATACCAAAGGGTGTGGTGATGGTGGTGGTGGTTGTGTGCTCTCGAGTTGGTTCCAACTCATAGATGCCCTTATATAATGGGGTGCCAGTTTGTCAATTCTGTCTCCCGTGTAGGGTTTCAGAGGCTGCAAACCTTTACAGAGCAGCAAGTCTCATCTTTATCCTGCAGAGCCAGGTGGACTCGAACTACTGACCAACTTGTAACCCATTACAGTACCAGAGCTCCTTTACCAAAAGGGTTTGTTGTTGTTATGTGCTATCAAGTTGATTCCAAAACACAGTGGCCCTGTATAGGGTTTCTGAGGAGTGGCTGGTGGGTTTGAACTACCAATCTTGCTGGTAACAGTCCCTTTTTTATCTTATAGTGCCACACCAGGACTCCTACCAAAGGGTATGTTGTAAGTGCTGTCAAGTCAGTGCCCGACTCATAATGGCTCTGTATAGGGTCCTGAGGACTTATGTCATTGTGGAAGCACAAAGCCTCCTTTTTCTTGGGCAGAGTGACTGGCATGGTAGAAACTTGGACTTTGTGGTTCACAGCCTAGTGCTTAATGGAGCCACTGTGCTCCAGAAGGTAAATTCTAGATCCTAAGGGCCTACTGAAATGGTTATTTTGTGGTGGTTGTTTTTTTTTAAACAGTTTTAATGGACATGAAATTAACTGTCTGACATTTAAATGATGCTGATAATAAAATCATAAATAACCAAGTTCTGATTGATCCTAGACAGCTGTGAGGAAATTGATACTACTAGTCTAGAAAGGAAAATAAGAATTTTGTTTGTTTGGTTTTATAATTTGCTTTAATTTTTTTTTCCCTCTTCAAGGAATGGAAGGAGATGGTAAAAATGGAATATGGTTTGTAACATGTTGACATGTGAAGTGCTAGATTACTTAAATTGCAGGCAGGAAGCAGAAACTGTGGAGAACCTTGGTGTGGTACTGTAGAATAAGCACTGAACTGCTAACCATGCTAACTCAAGGTCAGTAGTTCAAACTCACCAGCATCTTGGAAACCCTATCTAGGGCCAGTGTGAGTTGAAACTGACTCAGTGGCACTTAGCAAGTTAACAAGTCAGAAGAGAAATTAATGATAGAGACAGACTATGAGGGGACTTCAAAAAATTTGTTGGAAAATTCTATTATCTTTCAATTCTGCTGTTCCACAAACTTTTTGGAAGTTCCCTCATATCTAAGGGATTATAAAATTAAAAGCTGAAACCAGGGCAGGAATTAGAGTGAGCAGAGTTAAAACTTTGATAAACTGTCACATTTAAGCAGTAGGAAAGGGGAACCTTTGAAAGACCAATGAGAAAAGGAGAAAGATGAGAATGTACTATTGTGTGAGTCTTAAGAAGAAAGTTTTAACAATGACATAACAAATTTGACAGTTTGTAAGGAGCTCAGGTAGCGTAGTGGTTACGAATCGGGCTGCTAACCTCAGGGACAGTAGTTCAAAACTGCCAGCTGTTCAGCTGGAGAAAGATAAGGCTTTCTGCTCCCATAAAGACTTACAGCCTTGGAAACCCTGTGCAAGGTCGCTAGGAGTCGGAACCAACTCCACGGCACATAACAAGAACAACAGCAACACGTGTGGTACTGCAGGTTAATGCACAGGACTACAAGGTCAGTATGTATAGCAAAGTTAGCAGTTCAAGCTCACTAGCCGCTCCTTGGAAACCCTATACAGGGTTACTGTGATTCTGAACTGACGTGATGGCACTTAACCACCACAACATGTAATTATTGTTAGGTGCTATTGAGTTGATTTTTGATTGATAGTGAACCCATGTAACAGAACTGCTCCATAATGTTTTCTAGACTAATCTTTATTGGAACAAATTTCTAAGTCTTTCCCTGTGAAGCTGCTGGGTGAGTTTGAAATTCCAACCTTCATTTAGCAGCTGAGTGCTTAATCATTGTGCCACCAGAGCTCCTTGTTGTTAAGTGCCATTGAGTTGGTTCTGACCCATAGTGACCCTGTGTACAGTTTCCAAAGAGTGGCTAGTGAGCTCGAACCACCGACCTTGTGGTTCAGTTTGACTTTGCAGTCCAGCACATTAATACACAGGGTCACACCAGAACTCCTTAGTATATGACAAAACCAAATCCACTGCTGTCAATAGATTCTGACTCAAAACAACCATATAGGACAAAGTTATAGGAGTTCTATGACTGTGTTTACTGAGGCAGACTGGCACATCTTTCTCCTGTGGGTTTGAACCACTGACCTCTCAGTTGGCAGCTGAGCACTTTAATCACGGTGACTCCCTAGTGTACTGTCTGAAAATGAGTTTTGTTTGTTTTTTATATAGAAGTATGTTTTGAGATTAGTCAATCAAAGAAGACAACTAGATCTGATCTGTAAGAGAGGAGGTGTATAATAATCAAGAGGTACATAGAAATTAGTTTTCTCCAAGGAAATATGAAGAAATAATTGGATACAGAGAATTTGAGGTTGAGAGGAGAGAAGAGGAGCAAACAAAACTTTTAACTTTCCTTTCTGGGTTAGTAGATATTTATATCAGATGACCTCAATGTTATTAAAATAGCACAATCATCTGCTTGTTCTTGGCTTTGTGATAAATGGTAAAAGTTTTGGAACTGATTATTGTGATTGTGAAAATATAGGAATACTTTGGAGATAATTGTGGTTTTGGGTTTAGACCATTGCAGTAAAGCAAATGTGGCAATAAAGCAAGTTAAGTGAGTATTTTGATTCCCAGTGCATGTGAAAGTTACATTTACACTACACCTGAGTATATTAAGTGTACAATAACATTATGAAAAAAGCTTGAAAAACTGTGAAAATTACCAAAACACAGAGACACAAAGTAAGCATATGCTGTTGGCAAAATGGCACCAATAGACTTGCTTGGCATAGGATTGTCGCAAATGTTCAGTTTGTGAAAATGCAGTATCTGTGGAGCATAGTAAAGCAGAGTGCAATAAAACGAGGTATGTCTGTATTTAACATGGTAGATGCTCAATGAATGTTCTTCAAGTCCTAGGTTTAAGCAAAAGGCATGACAAGGTGAGTTAACATGGTTTTCTTATGCATCAAATTGAGCATGCTTATGAAAGATGTGGTTGGTAGAAGCTAGTTCTTATCAGCGAATACTTTTGCCTGTTTTCTGGGGTCTTTAAAGGATTGTGGTGATGTTTAGGGACATGTCACTAATTCTAGTCAATGAGTTATGGGTACAAGCAATACATATTAGCTTCTACTTGCTGATGTTGTTGTTAAATGCTGTAAAGTTGGTTTCAACTTGTAGAGACTGTATTGGATTTCCAAGAAGTAGCTGATGAGTTTGAATTTAAACCTACCTTGCAGTCCAGTGCTTATCTTACAGTGCCATACCAGGACTACTGATGTTGTTATTAAGTGCCATCTAGTCGGTTCCAGCTCAAAGTGACCCTGTATAGGGTTTCCAAGGAGCAGCTGGTGAATTTGAATTGCTGACCCTGTGGTTCAAACCGACCTTGTGGTCCAGAGCTTTATCCCAAAGCGAGGCCTCCTTTTCTTTCTGTCACAGCCTAAACATTTGAGAATAATTTACCCTTTAGCCTAGATTCATAAGGACCAATGATGTACATGTAACATGAGCAAAAGATACACTTTGAAATTTGAGAGTTGCTCATTACTATACCAGTTTAACCTGACTGATAAAGAAGGTTGAATTAATTTAGTGTTGAAAATTGGCAGTGTTGAACTGCCCACTTATAAGAAACAATGGAATAATTAAGGATGTCAGTGAGTGCATGGTACAGGTGCATATGGTTAAGTACATGTTGTCATGAGCTTTAAACTGAGCCAGGGAGGTAAGATTTAAATGAGATCAAGAAAATGTTTATAGACTTTATTGTTGTTGTTAAGTGCTGTCGAGTCAGTTCTGACTGATAGCGACCCTGTGTGGGTTTCTAAGGAGTGCTTGGTGAGTTTGAACTGCTGACCATGTGGTTCAAACTGACTTTGTGGTTGAGTGCTTGTCCTACAGTGCCATTCTAGGATTCCATAGACTTTTTAGGAAATAGCAAAAAGTAGTAACACGTTAGCCTGTATATAATTTAAATTCTTGATTTAAAAAAAAGTTATTTCTTAGTATATGGGATTGTTTTCATGTTGTCTAGAAGAACTAATCCATTTTAATACATATGAGAATAATATATGTTGTTCTGACCAGTACTCCCACTTATTTAAGAATAGGCTTTGCCCTTTGATTCCAGTGTAACTTTCTGAAATGGTAATCAGACTTTTAGAGGAGTCTGAGTTAAAAAGGAGCTCTGGTAGCGTAGTGGTTACGAATTGGGCTGCAAACCACAAGATCAGCAGTTCGAAACTACCAGCTGTTCTGCAGGAGAAAGATGAGGCTTTCTGCTCCTGTAAAGATTTACAGTCTCGGAAACCCTGTACAGGGTCGCTATGAATCAGAACCAACTCCACAGCACACAACAAGTTAAAAAGCAAAACCACTATTGACTTGTTAAACCAGATTCATTTATGATTAAAATGAGCATTTTTAGATTAGAGACTGCAACCAAAAAAAATAAGATTAAGTAGCATTAGCTTTAAAAAGCCATTATTGAGCTCTTTAGTACTTAATGACAGACTTGGATTCATTTCATTTTTTCGCTTCTCAAGTGTACAATTCAGTGTATCATTGAATGTAAGTTTTTAAAACTTAGAATAAGTTCACAGGTCAAAATAAGCAGCCAGTTAGGAATGTCCTTGGTTGATTTATCAATTTGCTCTCACATCAAAATCTAACCTTGTTCTCCATAGCTGATAAAGGAGATTAACTTGATTAACTTCTTATTGTGAAACAAACCAATTTTCCAAATTTTACTGCCAAGATTGATTGTACATAATTGTACATTTTTTTTTGCTGACAAAAGTATAGATCACAAACTCTATGTTATTCCTAGATTCCTGGATTTTGTGAGAATGAGAAAGGTGTCATCCCTTGTAATATTCTTGTTGGCTATAAAGCTGTATACCGTTTGTGCTTTGGTTTGGCTATGTTCCATCTTCTGCTCTCGTTACTGATGATCAAAGTGAAGAGCAGCAGTGATCCTAGAGCTGCAGTACATAATGGGTAAGTTTTGAAGTCTGAATAGCCTCTTCTCAGTAATTTTGAATCTTTGAGTGTATCTACAGAAACTTAAAGTAAACTTAAGATAATTGGCAGAATTATTGTGTCCAAACAAGGTAGGAAAATCCTATTTCTGCTAGAGAATGCCAAACTTTGGAAGCATAAATATTAATAACTTTGAGTCATTTTATTGGCATAATCTCTAATTCATAATGCTTTATATTTTCACCCTAAAAAGATGATTGATCACATTTGTGCCTATTAATAAGGAACTGTTCCTACTACTTGTATAAACTTTTGTTGGACCAGTTCCACTACATAGGACTGAGTTCAGTTCCATAGACTTGTTGTTGTTATGTGCCGTGGAGTCGGTTCCAACTCGTAGCGACCCTGTAGAGGGTTTCCGAGGCTGTAAATCTTTATGGGAGTAGAAAGCCTCATCTTTCTCCCGCGGAACAGCTGGTAGTTTCGAACTGCTGACCTTGCAGTTTGCAGCCCGATTCATAACCACTACGCTGCCAGACTTGTTAGTACAGCAAAATAAAATTTTTACTCATAACCACGGGAATTTGCTAAATTGCTGGTTGTATTGGACAGCCCAGAAAGAAATTTTAGTGTCCCATTATCAAGCTCCCATAATATAAGCACCACTTCTGGTTCTAGTAATTTGAATGTTACCTAATTTTATTATTTTTTTAACCACAAGTAAAGGCAAAATATTTTTTTTATTGCTTATCTATTAGCATATACCACCGAAGAAAGACTGGAATAAAAATATTAATGAAAAAATGTTATTGGAACAGGTTGATTTTAATAATTGACTAAAATTTTGGTCAGTTTTGAATGGAGGTATTTATCATGTATTCCCTTTTTTTAAAACAGTATTTCAGTATTCTTCTATACAGTGAGCCTTATACTTTTACATATTACCCCATTTATTATGTAAAATAAACCTGTGAAATAAAACTTATATTTTTATTTTACCTAATCAGTGACAAATGTTTGTAAAGTATCTCAAAAGCAATTTATATAACTTCCCATTTTCAGAATAGAGATCTTCAAAAATAATAATAATATAGTATGTTGTTAGGTGCCATCGAGTGAGTACCAACCCACAGTGACCTTATGCACAGCAGAACGAACTGCCTGATCCTGGGCCAACCTCACTACTGTTGGCACGCTTAAGTCCATCGATGCTGCCACTTGGCCATTCCATCTTGTTAGGGGTCCTTCTCTTTTTCTCTGACCCTCCACCTTACCGAACATGATACTCTTCTCCAGCTACTGGTCCCTTCTGACAATATGACCAAAGTATGCAAGACAAAGTTTGGCCATCTTGGCCTCTAAGGAGCATTCTGGCTGCACTTATCCACAACGGATCTATTGGTTCTTTTGGCAGTCCATGGCACTTTCAGTAGTCTTCTCCAACACCTCAACTCAAAGGCATCAATTCTTCTACGATCTTCCTTATTCACTGTCCAGCTTTTGCATGCATATGAGGTTATTGAAAATACCATGGCTTGGGTCA